GCCCACTGCCCCCCTACCACCCAAAACAAGTTCACCGCCCCTCAGCATCCTCCCACTGCCCTTGAGAACCAATGGCCTAGATAATAGCTCTTGTATATTTCTGTCCATGTCACCTCCTTTACTGTCTTGAGGATCCAACAGTGTTGAATAATTTCTGAATCATCTCCCACCTTCCTTTTTGAGGAAAGTTGTTGACAAGCTGGTTGGATTGCAGCTTCAGAAAGCTCAGGATGCATGTGAATTATCTGGACCTTTTTCAGTTGGGTTTCAGGCCTGCGCACAGTACCCAAACAGTATTGATGGCACTTGTAGATGACCTGTGGTGTAAGGGTGGTATATCTATCCTAGTCCTTCTTGATCTTTTGGCAGATTTTGATATAATCAGTCATTATTTCCTTCTGGCCTGACTCAGGGAGTTGGAAGTGAGAAGCACAGTGGTTCTCCTCCTTCCTCCAGGGTCATTGGCAGTTGGTGTTGATGGGAAGCGGGAGAGGTACAACTTTCAGCCCCTGCTTTGTGGAATACTTCAGAGTTCTATTCTCTCCCCACTTTTGTTCAATATCTGCATGAGGCCACTAGGTGAGATCATCCATTGGTATGGGGTTAGGCATCATCAGTACCTTGATTTTAGCCAATTATACATTAAAATATTTGGCCAGCCAAGCAATGCTGCTGAGGTCCTATCTCAATGTCTAGAGGCAGTGGGAGTTTTGATAGGGGGAAAAGGCTGAAACTTAACCCTAGCAAAATTGAATGGTTGTGGATTTGGGGGCCATCTGAATCCAGGGAATTTTCATATTTAGAACTGAACAGAGTTGCACTATTCCAGACAGATCCAGTATGCAATTTGGAGGTCCTCCTAGACTCATGGCTCCTGCTTGAAGAGGAAGTTGCAGCCATGACTTGAAGGGCCTTTACATAAACACATATTGGGTGCCAACTACAGGTATTCCTAGATCAGGAGGCCCAATTCACAGCCATTTGTGCCTTAATCAATTCATCTAGTTTGCTGTAATGCACTCAGCATGGGGCTGCTCTTGAAGACCACTCAGAAGTATGGCTGATCCAGAATGCAGCTATGGGTACACTTCTATACAGCTGTATAATAGTGCTGCTTGCAAGCTGTACTGGTTGCCAGTAGGCTTTTGGGTGCAATTCAAATTGCTGATTGTGACCTGTAAAGCCTTTCATGGCACAGGGCCTGATTATCTGCAGGACTGTCTCCAATTACTTCTACTCATCCAGTAAGATTGCCAGAGTAAGTATGCATTAGGTTCCATCACTTAAATAGTGTTAGTTGCCACCTATCCATGGAACAAGATTCAGATGGCTCTGATCCTATCTTTGGGAGGACTCTTTGCTTTTCCCCTATTTCCCCATTTTTCCTGACCCTGTTGAGTCAGGAAGATTTGGGTTTTTTTGTTTTTTGGGTTTGTTTTTTTTTATTATCTGGGGTTGGATGAGGTTGCCTCTGGCACAATGTTTTATGCTATTTTACTTCTATTATTATTATTATTATTATTATTATTATTATTATTATTATTATTATTTGTTTTTATTTCTGTACACTGCCCTGAGTTGTATGTTGACTGGGCAGCTATGTAAATTGTTTAAATTCAAATATAAATATAATGTAGGCCTTGTTGCCAGGGGCAGCACTCCATTCAGGAACTGGCATTTACTTGGTGATAACAAGTATTTTTTTCCAAAGGGAATTAACCTGAAAAAGATATAAAACTGCTGTTGATAAAAAAAGGTTGGTTATTTTCAGAAATAAAAAGGGTTACTTACTGTAACCTTTTTATTCCTCCAGATAAACATATTGCTGAAAAAGCAAAACAGAACAAAGTGCTTCCCACCATAATTATGAAAAACTGAAATGGATCAAGCTTTGCATACTAGTGGTGTGTACAAAGCAGACAAAAAACTTTTGTTCCGAGCATGAAAGAAAAACTGACAGGCTGCATCAGAAGATCCAGATAGGATGCATGCCTGTCTCCTTGAGTGTTCTAGCTTCAGAATGTTCTGTGCACGGGCAGGAGAATTTGAAACAAGCCTTTCTTTGTCACTCTGGGGTCCCATAAGGAGTTGGGGTGGCACTGCTCCCTATCATTCAGATATTTTAAAATGAATTCTCAAGCAAAAAATGAGAGCAACAGGTA